TTTTTTGAGGCGGAATCTCACACTTTCTCCCAGGCTGGAGTACAGTAGTGGCACACTCACCACCACTGCAGCCTCGACCTGTTGGGCTCAGGCGATCCTTCTGCCTCAGCCTTCCAAGTAGCTGGAACAACAGGTGTGCACCACCACACCCGGTTAACTATTTATATATTTATATTGCAGAGACAAGGTCTCATCATGTTGCTCAGCCTGGTCTTGAACCTTTGGGTTCAGGCCATCCTCTCACCACTGCCTCCCAAAGTGTTGGGATTCAAGGCGTGAGCCACTGCATCCAGTGGACTTTTCATCTTTCAAAAGTAAGTAAGCTGAACATGGTGGCTCATGCCTATAATCCCAGCACTTTGGGAAGCAGAGGCCAGAGGATTGCCTGAGCCCATGGATTCAAGACCAGCCTGGGCAACATGGTGAGGCCTCATCTCTATAATTAAAAAAAAAAAATTAGCTGGGTGTGGTGGCACATGCCTATAGTTCCAGCTACTTGGAAGGCTGAGGCGGAAGGATCGCCTGAGCCTAGCAGGTCCAGGCAGCAGTGGCTGTGAGCATGCCACTGCATTCCAGCCTGGGTGACAGAGTGAGAATCCGACTCAAATAAATAAATAAAATGGACAAAATAATGACACTGATATGTGGCAGAGATGACTCATCATCCCCCCAGTATTTCTTACTCCTCTTCTTCCTCAATAATAGATCCTGAGCCTAGAGCAGCAGCTCATGCCTATAGTCCTAGCTACATGGAGGCTGAGGCAGGAGGATGGCTAGAGCCCAGGGGCTTGAGTCCAGCCTGAGACCCTGTCTCCAAAAAAAAAAAAAAAAGTAATAATAGATCTCTCAATTGAACTGGGTGCAAGACCTCACTCACCCACCCTCTCTTGCAGCCAGATACAGGTGATGAGAAGTTTGGGCCAGTGGAATGTTAGCAGAGTCATGTGTGCAGGTTCCTGCTAGCTGGACACAGATATGACAGTTGTGGAGGGAGGGTGGTTCTATTCTGGGCCATGAGGGAACCTCAGGAATGGAAACCATGTGTGGTTGAGCAACAGGACTGATGATGCCAGAGTGCCTGACACAGTGAAATGTTGTTCCAGCAGCAGATCACTTACCAGAAAAGTGAACAGATCCTTCAACCTTAGCAAGTTCAGCTTTAAAAAAAAGTTAAATTTAAAGAAAGAAAGAAAAGTTGGCCAGGTGTGGTGGCTCATACCTATAATCCCAGTGCTTCAGGATCATGACATTATGAGTTTTCATTAATTTAAAATAGTAAATAAGTTACAGCATACTTGAGTTGAAATTGCTTTTCTCGCTTCAGGTCATCACTGTGCTTCTGTATTCTTTTTTCCCAAACTTCTTTTACAGCATTAACAGCCCCAGTACAAGCCACATGCTCTGTCATGATTTCTCCACATTGTCACCAGCTTCCTTAGGTTCTGAACAGCTGAATCACAAACACCATTTCAGAAAGGACCTAATTGAACAACAAAAAAAGGCAGTGTGTCTCAGAATGTTCTGGAAAGCCATAGTGATCATAATAGCTAATATTTATTGAATATGTTCCAATTCCTCAAATTATTTTGTATAGTTTAAATATACAGGCCAGGTGAGGTGGCTCACGCCTATAATCCCAGCACTTTGGGAGGCTAAGGTGAGAGGATTGTCTGAGCCCAGGGGTTTGAGACCAACCTGGGCAACTTGGTAAGACCTTGTCTCTACAATAAATAAAAAAATTAGCCAGGTGTGGTGGTGTGCACCTGTAGTTCTGCTACTCAGGAGGCTGAGGCAGAAGGATTACCTGAGCCCAGCAAGTCGAGGCTGCAGTGGCTGTGAGACTCTGGCTCAAAAAAA